ATATACTTATATAAGAGAGTATACACTGTATACTTATATATATACTTATACTATATATATATATATATATATAAGAGAATATACTTATATAAGAGAGTATAAACTGTATACTTATATATACTTATACATATATTAAGAGAGAGCATACTTATACATATATATACTTATATATGGGGAAAATGACGAGATTGGCATATTTTTTCGAGGTTTGGTAACATGTTGGTATATTTTCTTTTAGTTTTGTCAGATTGGTATATTTTTTCCGGCGTCATATAGGCCTTAAATTTGGCCAGAGTTACTGTTCCGACCAGGGCCGATGGGATTTTTGGTCGGAACAGCAACTAAATTTTGGTCGGAACATTAACTAAATTTGGCCGGAACAGTAATTCCGGCCAAATTTTAGACCTATATGATGCCGGAGTTGAAAAAATATACCAATCTGATAAAACTAAAAGAAAATATACCAACATGTCACCAAACCTCGAAAAAATATACCAATCTGGCCATTTTGCCCTTATATAAGAGGGAGGGAGTAAGTACAGCTTATATATTAACCTAAACCTTCTCTATTACACTATTTTATACATATACAAAAAGACGACGAGTTCATATTTGCCTATATATACTATAGTATATACTTATAGCTATATATTATATATATAGGTAATTATTACTTATTATAGCGAGCGAAAATTGTGTCAGGCTTAAGTGGACATCCACTAAACTTTTTAAACCCCTTAGATGTTTCGCTAGGGAATCTTGCCTGATTGAAGCCTGACCTTTTATAATGTTAATGAGTGGAATTTATAAAGTTTGGGGAGCACACTATTCACATTCCACTTTAAGTTGACACAAGTTCTAACTCATATATATATATATATATAGTATATATATATATATAATATATATATATATTACATATAAAAAATAAAAAATTAAAAAATTTACTATTCCGGGTAGGCCCGCGGCCGGCTTCGCCTGACGACCGGGCCCGCCGACCTGGTTCTGACCCAGATTTCCAGGTCGACCCCGAGCCGGGCCGGGTTACCGACCTGCGGCCAGGTCCCGGAGGTCCGGCCCGGGCCCCGGGTTTTTTGGACAGCCCTACTAAGCAGGACTGACTGTACAAGCACTAAATAAAGCATAATGCCTTTTTGCCACTTTGTTCCTATGGTCATGTCTGTGTCATCATGCATTTTTGCACCAAATTCTGAGGGCACATAGAAGATAACTTCTTTGAAGTCACAGTCAGAGTTCCATCCGATATCTCATAAAACACCCTTAATATCATTTTCAGTAGCAGTTCTTTGCTACTTTGTTCCTATGGCCATGTCCGTGCCATCACGCATTTTTGCACCAAATTCTGAGGGCACATAGAATATGACTTCTTTGAAGTCACAGTCAGAGTTCCATCTGATATCTCATAAAAGACCCTTAAGATCATTTTCAGTAGCAGTTCTTTTATTTTCCAACACAATTCTGCCAATTCTACCCCCAGTCTCTCCTAGGATTATAGAGAGAGAGAGGGGGGGGAGAGGGGGAGAGGGGGAGAAGGGGGGGAGAGAGGACCCCAAAATGAAACTAAAAGAAAATAAAGACATATTGCACAAACACAAAAGCCCTAAACAAATCCACTTATTTCCCATTATCTTGACTTTTGGAAAATTATGATATCTGAAGCTAAGTTTGCAACAAATATAAGTGAAGAAGGCCTGTCTTTGTAGTGTAGGCTTGGTGTTTAAAAAAAAATCTACGTCAACAGTTTCATAAGTTCAGAAATAATAGAATCTTCTCTTCTCGTCTAACTTCTCTGAATCACACTTCTCCAACTCTACTGATATGTCCTTTCTCTTAAATTCCTTGCTAGATTCCACCAAGCCTCATCTTCAGATCCATTAAAGTTTGCTATTTCTTGCTAAATCACACCAGAAAGGTTGTTGTCAATCAAAAGGCTAGACAGAAGACTGCAATATTCATATAATTTCGAATTTGGATTATAAAAATGTCAGTCTGCATCTCTCTCAAAACCTAATATTGATCACACTTCAAAATCCAGATTAATTCTTTTATTTCTTTCCTCTAGAATATTAATCAAGGTCTCCTATCTCCCTAACCCATATCCTCAAATCATGCTTCTATAGATATCAAGGGTGATCTTCAAGATCAAAGATACCGTAGCAATTGGTCAACATGAAAATGGATCGTCCTACAGGATATGTTATTGTTTTCATTCTAAGATTCTAGTTTTCTTGATCGATTCTCCTTCTTCCGTTATTTCATCCACTCCAATTTAGATGAATAGAACCAGTTTAATCTGAATAAATCTAGTAAACCACCCAATTATTAACGTACGGTTTTAAAACATTTTAATTTTGTTCGATTAAAAAATTTTCAAGCCCAAACCATCCGAAGCCATTTCAGGATCTGCCCTATTTCTCGCTTTGGTGAGTGTGTTGCATATAAGTCCTAGCTCAAAAAACTTTTTCAATCTCAAGCTTAACTACGGATTCAGTTCTAGCCTCATGTAGTTTCAGTTCGGCATGGCCAAAACCTATCAATCAACAGTTTGCTCAGATAACTCTATGAATTTCACCTTCTACATCCTTTTTCTTATCAAATGCAAAAAGCCTTTGCATTTCTGACACTTATCCATTATTGGATTAATTTAGCGGAACTCACAAAAACTGATAAAATCAAAAATAACAGTTCTGTTCTCAGCAGTTAAACAAATCAAGAGTAAAATTTCACAAACCACTCCCATCCTGAACTTTGTGACATTAGCACAAAACTCACAACAACAACAACAACAACAAAGCCTCTATCCCAAATGTTTGGGCTCTGCTTCATGAATCATATTCTTCCATTACATTCTATTATGGGACATTAGCACAGAACTCCCATATACTTTATAAATTAGAGGAAACCCTTCCGAACTTATTTCACTAAAATATGATGACCGAAGACATTATAAATTAAGTAGTTGTGTACATGTTTTGGGTAATGTTGGCCTTATGCACTTTACTTTCACAAAGAACTTCTTGGTGAATTTCGGTTAATGGTGTTAGTGACAATTTTGTAGCATTTTGAAAATTTAGAGGGCTTCCTCCAATTTGAAAAATAGGGGTTTTTTGCAAAACATGAAATGTCTGAAGTTTAGTGAAATAACGTAATTCCACTCTGTGGAGGGAGATCCCAATAATTTTCATGGCAGTGATCTTGCAAAAGGGTCCCCATTCTCTCAACGCAGAGTTAACGGAAATCGAAAATTAAAAATAAAAAATAATTACTATACATAAGAACAGAGATCAGCAATTAAGGATCAAATAGAAACAAAATGGGTCTCGTCAAAATTGCATACATTGGATAGAAAATCAACTGAGAAACAGAATTATATGGAAAAAAATTGCAAAAAAAAGTCGAGAAAATTATTACCATTAACAGGAGGAGCGAGCGAGGGAATCAACGGAGATAACAGAGCGGCGGAACCAGCCAAAGCCGCCATTTCGATCAGAGATGATCTTCCTCCTCTTTGTTCCCTCTTTTATTTTCTTATCTTTTATTCTTTCTTTTTTTCCCTTTTTTTTGGGCTTTCCCCCCTTACTCTGTTTATCTTTGTTCAGGGGAAACTTTCGTATTTCTTGATGCACAAGGCTAGGGATGTCATAATTCACGAAAGTACCACAAACGGGTCGGTTTGGCTAAACACGGATTAAGTAGATGTTGAAAGTCGGTTAATACTTGGGTTAAATGTGGGTCGGATCATTTTGAAGATCCACACCTATATGGGCCTTTTCTTCTAGATTGTTGTGGACCCATGGTGAGAAATTGTAGCAAGAATGTTTTGTCTTGCACTTTATTTTGGATTTCTACATTAAAACTACCTTAACTTCTACCCAAATTATAACTTTCCACATCTATAAAAACCAGCCTAGCTTACTTAGATGTTCTCAATATCATATCATATCATACTTTTTTTTAAAAACACAAGTTCGAGAAAAGCTTTTCTTGGTTAATATTACTTTTCACTTTTTTAAATATTTTATTTAAATCTTAATTTATCATAATCATAATTATATCCTATCTTAATCCCACGTGAATTACTTATAGCTTAATAATTTAAAAAAAATAAGATTTATAAGTTACATGTTATGAAATAATGTGCATGTCCATTTAGTTTCCCAAGAAGTTGATATTCCCCTAGTACATTAATCTTCTTCCTAGAACAACACAATGCATGTTCTTGAAAGACTAAGTTCATGAATGAGTAATTAATATGATTCATGTATCATCATCTTAGTTTGTATATAAATAGAGGTATTCCTACCTCACTTTGATAGAGCAATGAAGAACGGATGAAATAAATTTCTCTCTACTTCTCGTCTACCTTTTCTTCTCTACTTTATTAGTTTTATAATACGTTATCAGCACGAGACTCTACCATTGAAACAATCTTCTTCAAGTCTATTAGATTCATCGTTAGGCATGTGTTGATATTTTGGATAAACTTTCGAGGTATAATTTCTCTTTCCAATTCAATTCATTTTTCACTATGACTAACATTACAAAACAAGAATTTACGCCACTTGATATTTCTGGAAAGAACTACTTATCTTGGATGTTAGATATTGAAATACATCTTGCTTCAAAAGGTCTTGAAAATACTATTATGGAAGAAAATGAGACATCAAATCAAGACCATGCCAAAGCTATGATTTTCATTCGCCATCATTTAGATGAAGGATTAAAAACTGAATATCTAACTGTGAAATATCCACTTACTATGTGGAATAATTTGAAGGAGAGATTTGACCACCTGAAGTTGGTCATGCTCCCAAAAGCCCGGTATGACTGGTTTCACTTAAGGCTATAAGATTTTAAATCAATCAGTGAGTATATTCTGCAATGTATAAAATTACCTCTCAATTGCAATTGTGTGGAGAAAATATCACTGATGATGATATGTTAGAAAAAAATATTCTCCACCTTTCATGCCTCGAATATGCTTCTACAGAAGCAATATCGAGAGAGAGAGAGGATTTAAGAAATACTCTGAATTGATTTCATGCCTCCTTTTGGCTAAAAAAATAATGAATTATTATTGAAAAATCATGAATCCCGACCTACTAGTTCTAGCTCATTCGCTGAAGCGAATGGAACTAAATCTCAAAACCATGATCGCGGGCGTGGACATGGTCGTGGAGGAGGCCGAGGACATAGCCGTTATCGTGGACGAGGTCGTGGTAGATATGTGCCTTATAATCACATTGATCATAGTCGTGGCAGAAGACAAAACAACTCCCAGAAATGGGACAATAATGATAAGAAAAGTGAAGTAAAGAAATATTATGAGGAAATATGTTACCGGTGTGGAATAGAAGATCATTGGTCCCGTACCTGTCATACGGCAAAACATCTTATTGACCTCTATCAGGCATCATTAAAAGGAAAAGGTAAAAATACCGAGATAAATTTTATTGGTCAAAATAATGCTTATGATGATCTTGATGATATCACACACCTTGATGTAGCTGATTTCCTTGAGCAACCTGAAGTTGCAAAATGATCCCATGATAAATACCCTACATTTTAAATTTTGTTATTTTCACATCTTTTATGTAATTTTCTTTATGAATTTTGTAATTTATGGATTTTATTGATATTTACTTTTGTTTGTAATTTTCTTTGTCATTTCTACCTAAAGAAGAAATGGATGCCAAATATTTGGGATCAAACAATGGTGATGATAATACTTGTCTCATTGATAGTACTACTACACACACTATACTTAAAAACATAACGTATTTTTCTCATTTGAAAATGGAAGAAATAAATGTTAACACAATATGTGGTAGTGCTAAATTAATTGATGGCTCCGGAAGAGCCACTGTATTTCTCCCCGAATGAACTAAAATTATCATAAATAATGCACTACTCTCAATAAAGTCTCAAAAAAATTTGCTAAGTTTTAAAGATATCCGCCAAAATGGATATCATATTAAGACGATGAATGAGACAAATGGTGAATACTTATTGATTACAAATACCATTTCTGAGAAGAAATGCGTATTAGAAAAGCTACATTCTCTATCTTCTAGTTTATATTATTCAAAAATAAGTACAGCTGAAATGTATCACCTTGAAGTCCAGAAGTCTACTAATCCTAATAATTTTATGATTTGGCATGATCGCCTTGGACATCCTGGTTCTATAATGATGAGGCGAATAATTACAAATTCACATGGCCATTCATTAAAAAAATCAAAAAATACTAAATTCTAATAAATTTTCATGTGTTGCTTGCTCCCAAGGGAAGTTAATTGTTAGACCATTACCAACGAAAGTGGGAACCGAATCTCATGTATTTCTAGAATGAATTCATGGATATATATGTGGGCCTGTAGATCTACTATGTGGACCATTTAGATAGTTTATGGTACTAATTGATGCATCAACAAGATGGTCACATGTAAGTTTATTATCTAGTCACAACCTAGCGTTTGCGAGATTGCTTGCTCAGATAATTAAACTGTAAGCATAATTTCCTGATTATCCCATTAAGAAAATTCGTCTAGATAATGCTGGTGAATATTCATCACATGTCTTTGATGATTATTGCATAGCTATTGGGACAAGTGTTAAACATCCTGTAGCTCATGTTCATACACAAAATGGTCTAGCCGAATCATTTATTAAACCGCTTCAATTAATTGCAAGACCATTGTTAATGAGGTCTAAACTTCCTTTATCTGCTTGGGAACATACTATATTACATGCAACAACACTTGTGAGAATTAAGCTGACAAGTTATCATATTTATTCTCCCTTACAATTAGTTCTTGGTCACGAGCCCAATATTTCTTATTTAAGAATTTTTGGTTGTGCAATATATGTTCCTATTGCACCGCCTCAACGTACTAAAATGGGCCCTCAAAGAAGATTGGGGATATATGTCGGGTATAAATCACCTTTTATAATTAAATATGTTGGACCATTAACAGGTGATTTATTTACTGCAAGCTTTGCATATTGTCATTTTGATGAATCACATTTCCCGACATTAGGGGGAGGTAAAGATCAACCGAAAAAGGAAATTACTTGTAAAATATCATTAGACTTTCTTGATTCTCATACAAAAGAATGTGAACTAGAAGTTCAAAGGATTATACATTTACAGAAAATTATAAACCAATTACCGGATGTTTTTAGTGATTCTAGAAGAATTACTAAATCGTACATTCTAGCAGAAAATACTCCGATTAAAATTGATATCCCAGAAGGACAAATTAAAAGTGCTAATTAATCTAAAGCACGCCTGAAGTGTGGTAGACCTCTTGGTTTCAAAAAGATAAGAATCCTCGAAAGAAAAGAGGATCGAATGATCAAAATATTACTAATGAAAAAATTCAACCTCCTGAAGAGGTTGCTCCTGAAGAGCCAACTCCTGAAGAAAATAAAACTTCAATAAATTTTGTTATTACGAGAAAGAATTGGAGCCGAAGAGAAGTAATTGTCGATAATGCATTTGCATATAATGTAGCACTTGATATTATGGAAGAAGATGAGGATCATGAACCCAGATCGGTTGATGAATGTCGGTGAAGAAATGATTGGTCAAAATAGAAAGGTGCGATCCTATCTGAATTAGATTCATTGGGTAAACAAAAAGTTTTTGGACCTATAGTCCAAACGCCAAAAGGTGTAAAGCCAGTAGAATATAAATGGGTATTTGTGAGGAAAAGAAATGAGAAAAATAAAATTATGAGATATAAAGCAAGACTTGTAGCCCAAGGATTTTCACAAAGACCGGGATTTGATTATGATGAGACATATTCTCCAGTAATGGATGAAATTATATTTAGATATATTGCGAGTTTAGCAGTACATGAAAAACTTGATATGTGTCTGATGGACGTAGTCACTGCTTATTTATATGGAACATTAGATAAAGATATCTATATGAAAATCCCTAAAGGATTTAGCATGCCTGAAGCATGTAAATCAAATCCTAAAGAAATGTACTCCATTAAGTTGCAAAGATCTTTGTATGGACTCAAGTAATCTGGACGAATGTGGTATAACCGTCTTAGTGAATGTTTAGTCAAATAAGGTTATACAAATGACCCTATATGTCCATGTGTTTATATAAAGAGGAATAGGTCAAATTTTATGATAATTGTTGTATATATTAATGACCTTAATCTGATTGGAACTCCTGAAGAGCTCCAAAAGGCGATTGAATATTTGAAGAAAGAATTTGAGATCAAAGATTTTGGTAAAAGTAAATTTTACCTTGGTTTACAAATTAAGCATTTAGAAAATAAGATTTTTGTTCACCAAACTGCTTATACCCAGAATGTATTAAAACGATTCTACATGGATAAAACACATCCAATAAGTACCTCAATAGTTGTCAGGTCACTTGATCCTGCTAAGAATCCTTTTAGACCAAAAGAAAAAGATGAAGAGATTCTTGGTCCTGAAGTATCATATCTCAGTGCAATAGGTGCACTAATGTGTCTTGCTAATTGTACAAGACCAGATATATCATTTTCTATAAATTTATTAGCAAGATTTAGTTCATCTCCTACAAAACGACATTGGAACAGTATAAAGCATA